TTGCAAATGAATGGATTGAATTTAGAGGAAAACTTGAAAGCAATAGTATTTGTTTGCCTAAAATGGTATGTAATTTTGGTTCAACGCAATTCGTAACTTAGAAGAATAATGATTTATGCTGTAAAAATAAAGTTTTAATCCGCAGTATAGAGACGATTTTACTTTTAGCCGACAAGTGAGGTACATCACATTTTCGAAATCTATGCTTGCATGTAATTGGCTACTGGCCCGTTACAATATAGCCTCTTGTCACTCCTGAGTACTGCATCCGACTTTAGAGAATAATCGCACTAGGTTTAATCGCAAACCCGCATATACAAGGTATAAATATATTCTCGCAAGCTTTAGTTGTCTACTTGCGTTATTCCTAATTAGTGCATGAAATGTATAAGTACATTATTACATTACTACTATTATTACTGTGTAGATGGAAAGGAAACGTTTTCGCAGATAAGAATAACACTATATATGTATAATTATTACAAGGTATTGAAAATTTATTACCAAACAGACATTTTCATTTTTACCCTTAAGTGATTTTGATGCAATGTTGTTGAATGTGTACGCATATAAATATTCGATATAACTTTGAATTTATATATGGATATAATTTTGATAGCGTTTTATGGTAATATGAAACGCAGCTTTGAAAGATTTCGATGCGGGAGCTTGTGCGATCAATCTCCTTTAATGAATATCTTTTATGATGCCATGAAAACTGATATCTCAAAAATCAACTTTTATATTGGCTAATTTACATGTTGATTTAGGAAAAAGTGAGGGTGTATCTTTTTATTAGCGCTATGAACCGCATTCTGTTTAATCCAACTATATAGAATATAAGGTAATTCTGTTTTGGCGCATAATTTTCAAGAATGGAAAATTGAATATTCTCCGGATGCTATACATGAAAAAAATATTCAAATATTTGTACCAAAGATTGAAAGTTTTAAAACCATGTTTTTTTACTCTCTTTTTCAAAAAAAAAAAAAAGAAAAAAAGATTTCTTCATTTAAAGCCACTGACTCAAATAATAGTCGGAAATTTTGTAAGGTTTCTCGTTCCTCTGGCCTTAAAGTTGCAATACATTTATACGTAAAATATATTTTTTTATTTTGCTCTAGTTTCTTCTTATCAAAAGAATCCAGGGCTTTTTCAAACCCCTGCGACAATCACAACAAATTTGTTCGATTGAAGTAATACATATAAACAGAAAATGAAAAAGAAGTTTAGAAATCTGTTAAAAAATGGATTTTATACATCATCTGGGTTGCCACGCTTTTGCTCATTTTCAATTTCCTGACTTTTCCAAGTTTTCCAGGTTAATAAACGAAATTTTTCCATGTTTTTAAAACTACATTTTTTATATTTTACAAAAATTAAATAATTCCAATAAATTTTTACAAATACATGGAACTCTGTATTCCGCATTGTTATTTTTATCTTTTTTAACTAAATATTTAATTATTATTTTTATATATATAAAATTCTTCAAAAGATTCAAATTCAAACCGTTTTGAAATTAAACAAATTATAAAAAATTGTTAATAAAACATGAAGAAATCGATCACACCGAGTCTTCGACTCGGAGCAATCGATATCTTCATGTTTTATAATGATTAAAAATGCCCGAGTGATAAAATCATTATTTTATATTATAAGAATATTGTTACTGTAACTTATTAAAAATTACTTTCATTACTCTCATCATTTCAATTCAATTATTGTTTTCCAGAATTTTTAACTAAAAATCTTCTTCAAATTATAATTTTTTAAAGCAATGTTTCAATAATTTCTTTGAAAATTTTCAAATCCCTTTGTTTACTATTCAATTCTACCTGAAATTTTGATTATTCAGAAATTCTGCAATATATTATTAGAAAATAAAAACTTCTAATAACTTAAAAAAAATTCAATTAAACTTTTTCAAAAAATTAAATCTACACAATTTTCAGTTAAAAGTGCGAAAGATTCAAACATTCAAAAATTATAATTTGAAACCTTTTTAAAATTCAATTATTTCTAAAAATGCACGATTTAATGCTTTCTGTATAAATTTGAATTGGGAAAAAATTAAAAATGCGTTTACTAATTGGAATTATTAATGACTGACTTTTTGCTCTTGAATTAGTAAATTCTACTATTAAATTAGTGGAGACGATTATTTATTAGTAAAATCTGCTAATTTAAAAGCAAAAAGTCAGTCACTAATTCAAATTAGAAAACATTTTTACTAATACAAATTTAGAGAGTTTAATATTCAATTATTATCTAAAACATTAACTGAAATTCATATTTGAATCAATTTTTATTAGAAAATTCTACGACAATTCAATTATTTAAATACAAAAATAAATAATTTATTGAAGAATTGAATGTTTTTAAAAATTGTACTCTCATTTAAAGAATTTTATCAACAAATTTTTAAATAGGTAAAGGTAATTAAAATTCTTTTGACGAATTTCAATAAAATTTTTAAGAATAATTTCATTTATCGAGAAATTAGATTAAAAATGTATTAAAAATAATTGAATCTCTGTAAAAAATTTGATTGAATTGAAAAAAGTATTTTGAAAATAATTGAATTTTAGAGAAAAATTTTATTATTTATAAAGATAATTAAAATTTTAAAGAGAATTTTTAAAATTTTTTGACCATAATTGAATTTCTGCGAAGAATTTTATTACTTTTGAAAATAATTGAATTCATGAGACGAATTTTATTAAAATTTCTTCTTAAATAATTGAATTTTTTTTGTGAAATTTTATTGAAATAGTAGGATATTAAAAATAATTGAATTTTGATAAATTATTGAAATTAATGAAATTTCTACAAAGAATTTAATTAAAAATTTTTCGAAAAAAAATTGAATTTTTAAAAGAATTGCATTAAAATTTTTGAAAATAATTTAATTCTTTCAAGAAATTTAATTAAAAATGTATTGAAAATAATACTTAAATTCTTATAAATAAATTATAGGAATTTCACTGACATTCTTCATTATAGTTTAGATAAGTATTCCTACAAAATTTCAGCTCAATTTATTCAATATAATATTAAGAGAAAAGTGGTCGAAAAATTAGCATTGAAGGTCTGACAGTCACATGATGTTAAAGAAAATAATGTGCTAACAAAAATGACTGTTTTTCATCTGTCTGGTTAATAGTGAAAGGGGATAGAAAGCATGTGAGGGGAGAGCGGTTGGCCATAGCTATATAGTATTAGTAGATCTGATATAGTTCAACGTTTGTACCACAAATAGTGCAATGATGCACTGAAATATTTTCCGCGCTGCAAATTACTATTTTATTAATATAATTCATAATGATTAACACTCTCTATAAATCTTTTTTATTAGTAGTTTTCTACTAATAAAATAGTGCGGATTCCTTTACCAATTGAATTTGTCACAGTTTTGACTAATTTTTAGTAAAAAATACAACTTCACAGTAAATCGTGAGGTGTTAAAATTAAAATAACACCAGCATGGATTAAAATAATCTGCAACAGTTTAATACCTCTGGGATTAAATTAATACCAGAAAGAATTTAAATAATCCATTTTGTTGTTATTTTTACAATGAATAAAATTTCACTTTAAATCAAACGCCAAGTCAATGATTTGTCAAAATTCGATGAATTTAGCTTCAACAGGGACAATAGTTAGTTACTAATTAACTTAATTACTTAACTTACTTACTAATTAACGAGCTAACTAACATTCTAACTTACTAACTAAGTAGCTTACTATCTTTCTAACTAACTTACTAAGTTTCTAACTAACTTACAAACTTAATCACTAATTAACTAACTAACTTAAATACTAATTAACTAACAAACTTAGTTACCAACTAACTAACTTACTTAACTTAGTTACTAACCAACTAACTTTCTAACTAACTTACAAAGTTAATTTTCTACCTGAACCAAAAATCTTTACACATTCACACAGAAACAAACTATAAATCCATACCCAGATAGCACACATTGCCACAATACAAGATTACGTGCTATCTGTGTAGTAACTTTTACTAAACGTTTATAGTATAAATCTGTATTGTTTTTAATTTCTAACAATTTCTACTATTTATTTAGGAGTAATTTTGATCGTTTTTGGAGTAAATGTGTTAGTATCGCCCAAGTACATTCAATTTTTAGTTTCAGAAATAGTAAAAATTTCTTCGATTCAAGTACCTAATATTCTGATTCAATAAAAGCTAGTTTTAAAAATATAATGGAACTATTTTCTTTCCCTAATGGCGTATATAAGATCTGCACAATTTTATTCTTATATATTCCCTCAGTCTGAGAAAACAAATGCGCATAAATATTAGATACTCAGCTTTTTATACATGTAGAAAAAAAATCTGTTCTCCTGACGTGTGCAACGTTCAATCAAAAATACAATCGCAACAGTCTACACATAACACGCGATCTGGATATTCGCTCGACTGGCGTTGCGTTGTGTGTATGCCTATACAATAAGGGAGAAGTAAAATTTACCGCGAGGAAAAAGAAGTCAAAGCAATAAAAAAGACGTTAGATAGTGGCTTTGAGAAAATAGCAGTAGAAAACAAGTGTAGGTACCTACTATAAGGAAAGAAAATAAGGAGGAAAAGAAGAAATGATTAAAAAGAGGAGTGACGGAATTGAGAATATAAGAGAGAGAGAGAGAGAGAGAGAGAGAGAGAGAGAGAGAGAGAGAGAGAGAGAGAGAGAGAGAGAGAGAGAGAGAGAGAGAGAGAGAGAGAGAGAGAGAGAGAGAGAGAGAGAGAGAGAGAGAGAGAGAGAGAGAGAGAGAGAGAGGAGGGGGAAACACGTGCGCGAGCTAGGGTTGCAAACGCTCCAAGCAGAGGAGGGTCCTCCAACTAGAATATCATAGAGATAAAGGAAGATGGTAAATGATCGTGGGGGAGACGAGGAGCGAGACAGAGAGAAAGAGAGAGAAAGGACTCTCCGCCATGTGCTCGCTCGATCAACGTTCAGTCGTCGCGGCGCGCTCGTTGCGGCCACGTCGGGTCAATTTTTTTGTGTCTCTTCAAAAATAATAATAATAATTACGAATTTTCATTATTTATAAAAATATATTAAATTTCATAAAAAAGTTTATTTCCTCTTGTTTCTCGTGATGTTTGAATAAAACCAAAAAGAGGAAAAAGTTTTTTTTAGCAAGGACGTCGCAACGCCCCCTTCCCATGTTTTCCAGTGTTATTCTTGAAAAATTATTTCTATCCCTTGGTGTGAGAAAAATGTCCGAGGAATAACAATTGTCTCTACAAAAAAAAAGAAGACAAAAAAAAGTGTTGTGTGTCTCTTGAGTTTTATGGATCTGTTTCACAAAGAAGACGGAAGAAACATTTGATTCATGATACAAGTTTTTTGCTTGTCTCACAAGATAGTTAATTTTTGAAGAAAAGAATAATTTTCCCAAAACTAGTGTTTTTGTTTTTATTTTGAAAATGCATCATACAGCGCCTTGGTATTTGCCCTGGGGGTTGAAGTTGGTACCGTTGCCGATACCACCTGGACATCCGGCTTCCGGAATACCAAATCCTCCACTGCATCTTTTGACACCATTGCCGGGGATTTATGCACCGGAGCCTCGCAAGGTAGGACAAAAAAAAGGGTTTTTATTTTCGAAAATGACTCTTGAAATTGAAATCCGTTTTTGCTCGCTTCGCTAACCGTTGAAATAAGCGCGCGCGATGAATTCGAGTTGTTCTCTCGTTCACTTGATGTACTCGCTTTTGTTTGTTAGACACCCCCTCCCCTCCTTCCGCATCCACACACAGACACATAACCACAAGTTGCTCTCGGTGTGTTTTGTGCATTGTTGTGCACATTCGATCAGCACTGTTTTGTTCTGAATATCACTAGGCACTGTTTTGTTCAAATCAGTGGAAGGCGCAGTATAATCTGGAAAAAAAAATATTCACTGTGCGACAGTGTAATAGTATACTGGTGAATTTCATTTTACTATGAATACAAAATTTCAATTGGAAAAAGATTTATTCGACTCGGAAAAATAACATGTAGGTTAAAAAAAAAGAGCTACTCGATCTCGTGCGGAATTCGGAGAGTTTGTTTTTACAATCAGGCGATTTTTTTTTTTTTAAAGTAATAACACTTTAAAAGGGATATTTGCTTTTTGTTGGTCCATAGGAAAGTGTCTCTATTTGCGAATTTGAGTGGGACAAATATTTTTGCAAATGGTGATAAATTTTCACATAAAAGTAAAATTGATTTTTTTTCTAAACTTGGAAAATGATAAGAATATAAAATATTTACTGCTAACAAAAAATTTATGGATGACAGTAAATTACGATAAAAATTGTGCTTCTAAATGACAGATTTTAAAACGATGATAAATTAGTTTTAACTTTTTAAATTTATTAAATTTGAATGTTTATTAAAAGTTCGGAGCAAGTTTGAAAAAGTCAAAATTTTGAAACTGAAGATTTTCCCCTACATTTGAGTTCTTGAAAATTGACTACATGATTGTTAGTAAAATTTTGAATTGCTGTTTGTTTTAAAACATAATAAGAAAACAGCTGCCAAGTTAAGCCGTACGTTTCTGTGTCCATTTCATGAACACTTTGCTTCCTCAAGGAAAAAAATATAAAAATATGCCAAAAAATTGAATTTGAAAAATTTTGCTTAAAGAAAAGTTACCAGGGTGTCTACAACATCTGGAAAATCGGGAAATGTCAGGGAATTTTTTCGAAAGTCAGTGAATTTGTTTCATCATGACTTTCAAATGTACTCTTAAACATAGTATTTTTAATGCCTAGAATTAGTATTTTAAATTTTTAGTAAAAAATTAATAGTAGGAAAAAATAAAAAAAAGTAAAAAAAAATTAATAATTAATAGTAATAATAAAATTAATAGTGCATTTCTATTCTATTTTGATAAATAATATAAACCACAGACATATAATCAAATAGAAAAAGATTGACCACTTAAAATTCTGAAAGATCTAAAGAAAAGTGTCATATAGATGAAGCTACCAATCTGCATGAATTGAAGCAGAAATAATTGCATTGAAAAAATTCGTTTCTTAAAATAAGTCCATTTGTTCTTAAAATACATAATTTTTTACAAATTTTCATTTTATATTCATCATTTATAACGTTGGTGACATTTACAACGATTTAGAAAAACAAAAATTTTTTTATTCAAACTTTTGTCTTAATAAAACTTTTAACAGTGTTTTTTGAACAAAAAGTTAAAAACAAAATTTTGTAAACGTAAAATGTTTTTTGAGTAAAAATAAAAAACCGTTTTTTTTCTTCAAATCGACGATGACAAACGTTGTTAGTTGTAGACACCCAGAAAGAAAAGTTTTTAAAAAGTTGTGAAAGATTTTTCATAATTTTCGGTTTTTAAAATACCAATAATTTCGTAATTTTAACAAAATTTTTCACAAAATTTTCAAAAAAGTCTTATTTTTCAAAATTTTGGATTTTTAAAAATGTAATATCTCAGGCTATTATGGACGAAAAATGTTTAATAAGAGGTTATGTTTCTAAAATTTGTATTGGAATAATATTTTACGTCTCTATAAAAAAATTAATTGTGAAGTTTCTAAATGTAAAAGTTAAATTTTTAATTTTCGTTGCAATCAGTATAATTGATCTTCCCTAAAGCTCTTCATAGTCTCAAAATATTTATAAAAATATAATGTTTACACATACAAAATGATATTTTTTAAAAATGGGATTTTTCAGTTTTTGAGGTTAAAAAAAAAGATATGTCAAGGGACAAGATTAAAATTTTTTTGTATTTTATTGTATATTGTAATATATTGTAATATTGCGCCTTGCATGTCGCGCATAAAAAATATAAAGTTATAAAGTTTCAAAATGATTTTTTTAATAAAGTGTTAAATTTAATTATGAAAACAAGAAAAACTTCTCTTCTTCTACTATTAGATATACAATGCATTTTTTGCAATTTTTTATAAAATATCAGGATTCTTGTACAGAACCTGGAATTCATGGAAAAGACATGAGATTTTTAAAAGTTTTCTGAAATTAAATCATAAAAAAAGTCTAAAATTTTAAATGTTTACAAATTTTTCAATTTTTTTTTCTTTTTCTCTTTGATAATTATTTTGAAATTTTTGAGATTCATATTTTTTGAAATTTTTATACTTTTTACCGCAATCTTTTAAATTTCGGACGAAAACAACATAAAATCAAATTTTCAACGTATGCGTAACGTACTCCTGTATTATAAATTTGAAATTATAATTTAAATGACATGAATATTATATTCAAATTTTACTGGAATTTTCTGAAGAATTGACCTAGAAAACCTGGAAATAGCCTGCAATTTTAAATTAGGTTTTTTGTTGGAGCCCTGTATGCGAATATAAAAAAAATACAGCTAAAATCAAAATTATTGTTATTTTTTAAATCAAATAGCAATTAATTCTAAATTAAAATTTTATTCTAATATTATTGTTTCATATAATAAATAATAATATAATAAAAAAATAATAAATTTTTATTTATTTCTTTAAATTATCCCAGATAGCCAAGCGTAATAATCGTTATTTTTTAGTACGGCACATTGGCATCATACTCATATTTTATACTATAAGTACGAAATAATAAAGTGCACTAGTACTCTGGTTATCTGGGATGTTTTAATTTTTAAATTATTATGCAAAAAATATATTTACATTATAATTATAGGTAATTGAATTACAAATACAATTTTATTGTTTATAATTTATAACAATTATTTATAATTATATTTTTACTTATAACAATTATTATTTATAATTATATTTTTACTTATAAATTTATAATGATTTTAATAATTAATTCAACTTAAATTTCAATAGTTTCTCCTTTTTATTGCAGTGAAATAATTGAGTTTGTCAAATTTAAAAATATGAAATTTATATCGACAAAGTTTTTAATTCATTTAAACCTTCTAACTTTATGAATTATAAGTTTTAAAAAAAATAATACAAAAAAATATTATCTTGTTGGCGTAAAATTTTTCCCAATAATGCTATACAATTATAGTTTATTAAATTAGAGAACTCTCAATGCATTTTTCAATATTAAACAATATTTAACTTCATACATATTCAAATTGTTTTAAATAAAAACAAATAAAATAAAAGTAAAACATATCTTTTTTCATAAAAATTCTGAATTCATTATTTAAAGAAATTTAATAAAATGCTAAAGTAGAATAATTTTCATTTTAGTCGCGCGTATTAAATTGTAGACGAAATATGATATTTAATGCATTTATGACAAATTTTATTTGTTATTTTAAAAATTAGCGAATATAAATAAAGATTAAATTTCCTAGACAAGTTTTAGTTAATAAAAAAAAAAAAAAAGTATGAGTATATTTATAGATGCAAATCCGATTATGTAACGAGATTACAAGAAACCGTAATGAACATTACGAGATTATGAAACGAGAGTGTATCAAATTATAAAAGTTACAAACTTCTTCCGGTTATAATGCATTTATTAGAACAAGTTTGTCTGTATCAAGGGTAAATATTTAAAATTCGAAGTTTATTAATCAAGTTTTATATACTTGTGCACGTAAACTATGAACATTGATTTTCTTCCCTAATTATTGAAACGATGTTTTCTCTCTCTGAATTTTACAGTGAAAATTTTCATATTTGGATGTATAATGGTTATAAAGAATTTAATGATAAACTTTCGTTATGTATTTTATTTTTTTTAAATAAAATTAATATATATTATTCTATTGAGGATATTCGTTTTTATATGAATGACTTTTCGAAATTTAGCCCATAAAGCTTTTGATCTATAGCCCCATTAAGTTTGACGTTCACGTATATATTATTATTATTATTATTATTATGTAAATTTATATAAGGGGTGGAGTAAAGGCGCGAATCTGCAACAAAATTGTATTCGATTTTATTCTATGTTGTTATAAATTCAATTTTCAAACTTTATACATTTAAATATTGAACCACATTTTTTGATTTTTTATATTAAATTATTGATATATCTTATGGGAAATATAATTAAGGGAAGGAAAATTTGTTCTATATGCTGGAAAAACGAAGTCTGAAAGATAAAATTATCAATTTTAAAAATATTAGCATTAAAAAATTTATAATTCAAATTTTTATTGAAAACACAAAAATAATTGAATTTTGGAAAAGTTACAAATAATTGATGCTCCGGATCTTATAAGAGGGCACTTTCACCATGTAAAGTCTATGCGGAAAGTGCCCTTTTAAGATCCGGAGCTTCAATTGCAGAAATTCAATTATTTTCAAAATTTTTTATAAATTTCTTCGTAATAATTCAATTTTCATAAAAAATAATTAAAAATTCTAGAAAATAGTAATTGATTTGAAATGATGAAAATAATTTTGATAAAATTGAATTCCACAAAACATGTAATTATTCCAGGGTGTCTACTAACCGGGAATTCCGGGAAAACCGGGAAATAACCGGGAATTTTATTTGACCGGGAAAAACCGGGAATTAGCCGGGAATTTTATACCGAACCGGGAATTTTTTCACAAAAATTAAAAAAGTTTTATTATTTTAATTTGTTTTTAAAAAATCAATTTTTATTTCAATTTTT